GCTCCCAAACCTCTCCCAATACCTCTCTACTCCCCTAAAAAAAATTTTATTCCTTTCACACCAAGCACCCCACAAGATGACAAAAACCAAGCCTCCCATAACGGGAGCTCAACTCCCCTAAAAAAGAAAATTTATTCCTTTCACACCAAGCACCCCACAAGTTGACAAAAAACCAAGCCTGCCATAACAGGATCGCTCTATCCCGAAATGGCAGGAACCACACCTCCTCCAACAAAGCCCTACAATTCCTATTGCCCGTAAAAGAGACTCCAAAAACCTTTAAAAACCAATTCCAAATAAGTTAAACAAACTGACAACTCCACAAAACATGATTAAGATCCTCCTAAGCATTTTTGCAGATGACACACCACTGAGGCGGCCCCAACAATGAAGAATGTCTCTGAATACGGCCCATGGTATTAACTTTCCCATGTAAAACTTGCCAAGCAAAAAACTTAACCTTCTTCAGAATATTTACCTTCCAAAGGGAGGAAAAATGAGGTGTCAAGGGGGAGGGACGGAGCACTCCGAAGCTGAAAAAAGAAACTACAAGTGAAACCCAATGACAGGTTTGGGACCAAGACGTAATGTCTTTCCTCCCTTACAAAAAATGGGCATCCCCTATCAAAGCAAGCAAAGCAGTAACCTCCCACGCCTCCCTACCCATCAAAGTATGACAGAGACCCAAAGAAATGGAAGGATAATTTCCCCATGAGCCCAAAACAGGGGCCACTAAATGCAGCCTCATCCTCAAAAGGTGGTATAAATGCAAGGGAATAGGAGGCAAAGGGGCTTGTCACCCCCAAAAAATCTTTCTAGAAATAGGTTTCAGTACCACCCTCGAAAGCAAGAAAAAACAAACCGAGAGAAGATGGGAAAAATAGAGGAGATAGTCTTCCAAGAGCACTTACCAGAAGTCCTAGGACCACTATCTGAGACCCAAACAAAAGGATGCGACCCATATTTACTTTCAAAACAGTGTGCCAATTAACCAAATGAGAACCTCCCCCTTCATCCACCCCTCCCACAAAAAATCCCTTGTGATCTTCTCCAAATTGTTCAAACGGACACTAGGGCTTTAAATAGAGACAGGAAATAAATCGAAATCCTTCTTAATACTGATTCAATAAGAGTGATTCTCCCTCCTATTGATAAGAAAGGGGCTTTTGAAACTGAAGTCCGAAAAAACAAACTATTTGAATTATGACCTAAAGGGAGCCCAAGGTAAGAGGAGGGGAAAGCTTGGACCTCACACCCCACCTGGGAAGCCCAATAAGAAAATTTGGAGCTATCAAAGGCTCACAGCTAACCCCAAGCAAAGAACTCTTACCTCTGTTAATCTTTAGACCAGATATTGCTTCGATGAACGAAAGAAAATGGTTTAGATTAATAAAGGAGATTTCTTTCCCAGAGAAAAAGAAGAGAAGAGAAAAAAATCGCTAACTATCCCTAGGTAGCTTCGCTATGTAGTGTTTATACTATGCAATACCAGCCAAACTAGCAGCAGTATCATGTGAACATTAGTTTTACAAGCTATTCAGCTCTTAAACGAACTCCTCAACCACTCAAGCTGCCAATTATTCACCTTCTAGGAAAATCCAGCAACAGCGCAAATAACGAAACAAGGATTCTTCCAAAAAGTAATTAAAGGGCCTCAAAAAGTTAGAGACGGTTGATGCAAGAACGAAGACATTGATCCTGACGTAGGTAGCCCAAGAATCTCTTTCGTACCTAAAGATAAACTTAATTTATTCGTCACTCACGTGTTGATACACACAAAATGCCACATGTGGCATAAAAGAAACATGGGAAATCAAGCCGCGTACTCATTGCGATGGTGAGGAGACCAGAGGAATGCAGGAACAGTGGATGGCAAAGATGATATGGGTTCAAATGTCGCTGCAACCTGGATAACAACAAGAAGCAAACCCACCATAGGCACGTCCACCTTCTTCATCTCTCTGTTTCTCCACATCAACAAGAGAAAAAGGTAAGTTCGGAAAAAATATATATATAATTTACTAGACGAGATCTATTTGGCAGCTGAAATTCATATACCGGAACCATGGGTAATTCAACAGATCTGAACTTCAAAATTTTCAAATCAAGAATTTGCCCTTGAGACAACGAGATCGATTTAAAATAACACATAAAAAAGTTAAAAACAAAACATGTAAATGTCATGGGAAAGAGATTCCAAATGAAATTAGTCTGCTTACCAGATAATCAATACCGAAGTATTTATGAGTAACCCTTCCTGTGGTCGCTTCTCGACACTGGATGTGTAATAGAAAGGATTTATCACGGTGATCTCTTCGGGGCAGCGGATCAGAAAGCAAACACACCCGATATTATAGCGACGACACCCCAATGGACCAATTTTGTAAAAAGGTGTAATATTCTCTTTAGTCCTTTTTTTTTTCTCCTTTCCTTTCTTTCCTGCCCAGGCCAATCAATTAGTGATCCTTTCTTTTATGAAAATAAAGTAGTGCTTTTTTTTTCCGTTCAAATATACGTTTAGTTTCGAATTTTCAATAAAGAAATTTATTCCATAAACTTTCAATAACTCAACAATAAATAGTGTCTACTAATTTCCTGAAGGTTGGAGTTCGAAATCCTCAAACTCAAAATAAATTATATTTTTGTTATTGGGGTTTAGATTTAATCTCTCATTTCAAAATTGACAATTTTGATCCTAGATACTTGGATTGGATTTGATTTCTATCGGGTGATTGAGGTTTAAGAAATACCAAAAGTATCATTTTTTTAAATTTGAGAGACCAAATAGAAACTAAATCTAAATCTCAAATATGCGAAACATATTAAACTAAATAATAGTTAAAAAAAATTGAGTACAATATGTGAAAGTGAGGATTCGAACTTACTACTTTTAGTTGAAGGTAAATGGAGTAGCTATACTAGATTGACAAATAACAACTAAGTTTAAATCTCAAGAACTTAAAAGTGTAATGGACCAAAAAAAATACTAAGTGAAATTAAAGGAGAAAAAGCATAAACAAAGACATAGGTGTGGTTTAGTTATCCAAGCATAACTCAAATAATAGGTGAAATTAAAGGATAAAAAACATAAACAAAGACATAGATGTGGTTTAGTTATCTAAGCATAACTCAAATAATAGATTAGACATTGGTTATTATCTTAAAATGGATGACTCTCTATTCCAGCAATGGTTGAAAAGGAAAAGTTGTGGTAAATGTCGGGACGTTTTTATCTCAGTGAGTGGGTGTGGGTGTGGGTGTGGCAGATGGCAACGGAGGGACACATAATTATCTTAGGAAAGAATAATTAGATGATAAATGAAATAGTAAAATAAATGCAATAAAAGGGGAGAGAGAGAGAGAGAGAGAGAGTTTAAAGAAGCGGATAGGAAGCCGCGGGTTGTCCTCCTTCACTTCAAAGGAGAGAGAGAGAGGGGTTTTTGTTATTATTATTTATTTTTAATTTTGTCCCTTCTTCGTTTCATTGTTTGTTCAATTCTCTCTCTCTCATCGCTTACACCCTCTGGCCCCTCCCTCTTGTTCCCCCCATCCTCCATTTTCCCACCCAATTCGCTGTTTTCTATCGAATCAAACGCACAGATTCCTGAAATACCTCTTACCAGATTCTCCTGGGGTTTTTTCGCCTTGGATTTCAAGTAATTCCTCTTGCCTCCTTTTATTATTTTATTATTTTACTTCTGCTCCATCTTAGTTCGTGTTAATCTTTTCCTTCTGGTTTATGCTAATTCACGATATCTCTCCTTCTGGAAATAACAACTATTAGTTTCCATTATTGTTACCCATCCCAAATTTGCAGCTGCAGGCATCAATCTCCAGACCACCTTCTTCCAACCTCCTCAAATCTTCTCTTTACTGGGTTCCCTTTCCTTACCTGTTTCTGTTTATATCTTTCTGGTAACCATATTCTCAATTTCCACCTTCCATTCTCTTCTGGGTTTCCTCATTTGAATATCTGGCTATCGGTTCGTCCAATGCCGAGGACATATTTTGGGTCTGTGTGCCGATCAAACACGATGCTGCGACTCTATCGCTCTTTTCCCCCATCCCCTTTTTGCTTCCTCGCCCTTTTTTTTATGGTTTACCCGGGAGATCTGGGATCTGAACTATTCACTGGATCTGTAGAATTTACCAAAATTTTGCGCATTCCACATGACATCTGATGGATTTCCTCTTTTTTTTTTCTCTCCCGATATGAGATACAAATGATTTGTGGTCATCATATTCTTTTTTCTTCATCTGTTTCAGAAAATATAATAGCGGAAGCTGTGGTTTGTTGCGGGAGGATAGCGGTGAAACAAGCAAAACGAGGATGGAGGAGTCAATTCCAACAAGATATTGGTGTCACATGTGTTCTCAAATGGTGAATCCCATCTTTGACGTGGAAATTAAATGCCCCTTCTGCCGTAGTGGGTTTGTTGAAGAGATAGGTAACGGTATTTCGAGTGACAATAATGAGCTTGAATCCGATTTTGGATCGGAGCGAGCTTTGTCCCTTTGGGCCCCGATCTTGCTTGGCATGATGGGAAATTCCCGTGGGCGGCGTAGAATGAGGCATCTAGAGTTTGATGAGGATGAGGAGGAGAATGAGAATGATGATGGGGAGGGGCATGGGCATCGTGTGACTACTGAGGCTACTGAGTTGGACCGAGAGCTTGATTCAATCATTAGGAGGAGGAGAAGTTCAGCTACCATTTTACAGTTGCTCCAAGGTATCAGAGCTGGAATGGCAACTGAATCAGAGAACTATGAAGGAGACAGGAACAGAGAAAGAGAAAGAGAAAGAGAAAGAGAGCGGGTCATTCTTATAAATCCTTTCAATCAAACCATTGTAGTTCAAGGAGGTCACACTGTGGATCAAAACCCCATGGGGTCGCTGGGTGATTATTTCGTTGGACCTGGTTTAGATTTGTTATTGCAATATCTAGCCGAGAATGATCCCAATAGATATGGGACTCCACCAGCACAGAGGGAGGCAGTGGATGCGCTGCCCACGGTGAGGGTTGAGGATAGTTTGCAGTGTTCGGTGTGTTTGGATGATTTTGAGGTTAACGCAGAAGCCAAGGAGATGCCGTGTAAGCATAAGTTTCATACTGGGTGTATTATGCCGTGGCTGGAGCTGCATAGTTCTTGCCCAGTTTGTAGGCATCAATTGCCTGCGGATGAATCTAAGCGGGATATGGATGGTGGGTCTGGGTCTGGGTCTGCTGCTAGGTTCATGGGTGACCTTAATGTTAATGGTGGTGGCAGTGGTGACATCGAGGCAGGCGTGGATGGCAGAAATGCATCTGGGAGAAGGTTTCCGTTTCCATGGCCCTTCAATGGTTTGTTTTCTTCGCAAGGTGGAGGTGGAGGTGGAGGTGGAGGTGGAAACTCCTGGGAAAATGCAGCTGGAGCAAGTACAAGTGACTCTCAAAGGGATGAGAGTTCCATTTGATCATAGTATCAACTTGTTTCATGTCCTGCTCCTGCTTCTGCCTGCTGAATCAATCTGTAATCTGTATGTATGTATGTATGTATATGTTTGTCTTATACTTTACTATACAGATGTTTTTGCCTCTGACTCCGAGTCCTACCCTTAGAACAGGAATTCACCGCTGCTTTCTTTAATCACCATTCTTCTTTTTTGCCATCTTTAATCACCATCCTAGCGATATGGCTTGGGATTTTGTTTTAAATTTTAATTCTATACCGGGGCAGGGTTTCACCAAAATCACTCCCAAACATTGGTGATGTAAAATAAATAGGCAGATCACTGTAGACTCACACCACAAGCTTGTAATTCAGAAATTGCACTTTGCAAGGCAATATGCTAAATTAATTTCATTTTTTTTAAAGTTTAAGACAAGGAGGATACAATAAGCTTGTCATGCAACGCACAACAATAATTCTTTATTATGAAATATATAGGAATACAAACTTGTGCTTAGGGAAAATTTCCTAATATTATTTTGCATCATTAATGAGTAAATTATGTTGAAAGAAAATTGAATTTGAAAGTCCATATATTTAATGTATTTGGATATGTTAAATAATAAAGGGAATAATTAATTAATGTATTTAAAACATTAAAATGAAAAAATAATATTTTACTAATATACGGATATATCAATAAAATATTTATTTGAAATAGGACATTTAGGGTAAGCGAGAAAAAAAAAAAACCCAACCTCTTCAAAAATTCTCTCTTCAATTTTTTCTAACTTAAAAGAAAAATTTACACAATTTCTTTTAGGGAGGTTTCCATATAATTAGGTTTTACAATCATATTTGAGTTCAAACACTACACTCCTACAAATAAAACTGTGTATAGTTTGTGTTTGAACATTCGGTTACATTTAGAAATATCGTTTCCGAGCATCTTTCTATTAGATATAATCGATATAAAGATTCAAGATAAGTTGGAGATAGATTAATCTTAAGGAAGGAAAGAGAAGAGAAGGATAGACTTTCTTATAATTAATTTAAGATTTACATGGGGATAAATGAAGAAAAGAAAAAAAAAAAGACTCTTTGAACCTGCTTTCTTTTTAGCATCTCTTAGAACTTGTTTTAATTATAGTATAGATATACAGAGTATAGAATGCTAGATAATAAGGCTGATGATATGACCTTCCACTGTTGCAATAAGAAAACAATCATTCGAGTCAATTACAAAGCCGATAATTAATAACTCACCCTCCTGTAGCATTCCATTCCCTTGAGCATAAGGTAATATGAAGATCAAAATTATAAGATAGAACAATGGAGGTAACAAAATTCTCAAGGTAATATCAAGATCAATGAATGAGCGTAAAAACAAGAGTGGTTTAAATAATCAGAAGTCACTGCTCACAAGATCAGAAACAATAGTACAATGCCAATGTCTTTCCAATTGGTCAGTAGTCAAACAAAAACGGTGGCATCCTTTGTCCATCCAAGATGCCCGGCCAAAGGCAACAATTTATTGCTGAACAGAACATTGTTACTTCATAACGTAAATAACACAACAGTGTCTGTCATAAACTGAAATATGGATGCTCGGATAAATGTTTATCACGAGAGGCGTAAGTTAAAGTGGTGGTCTCAACCAACCTTAGAAACAATGAAGAAAATCACAGCAATTATTCAATTTAATCTGTGCTCGTGGTGAATGGAAAAAAAACGTCGAAATGGTGAAATTGCCTACTTGACAGTCAATATCTTGATAACAGATGCTGTTCCAACACGATGAAGAGCCACAACAGAATCTCCATTTTTGCAGAGCCCCTTTGACTTGGCATGGTGAATAGAAAACTCTATTGCTTCTTCTGTTGTCTCGGCATGAGACGATCTTGCTGATGCTGTGCTAAGAACCGGTACCAAGCCTCGAAAAATTAAGCTATGCCTGGCTGGAGCTTCATCGCTGCATGACCAATCAAATGAATCTGTCTTGATCTCGGGGACAACCACAGACAAGATGGGCGTTCCTGGCCTGTACTTGGCCACCAGTTTTGCTGTGCTTCCTCCTCTGGTTAGGACAAGTATAAGAGCTGCCTTGGCTGAGTTTGCAGTTCTAACAGCAGAAGAAGCTAGGCTTTCTAATGGGCTCATCGGAACTGGGGAGTGTTCCATAATTCTTTTGAAGACATCTCCGTAATCAAGGGTGCTTTCAGCTTCAACACATATTTTTGCCATTGTTCTAACAGCAAGTTCTGGATATGCTCCAGCAGCAGTTTCTCCACTTAACATTACGCAATCCGTCCCATCAAGAACTGCATTGGCAACATCAGTGGCTTCGGCTCTAGTTGGTCTTGGAGATTTAATCATGGATTCCAGCATCTGTGTCGCTGTGACAACAGGTTTTCCCTGGATGTTGCACTTGTATATCATCACCTTCTGTGCCAGAAATATCTTCTCGATTGGAATTTCCATTCCCAAATCACCACGTGCCACCATGAATGCATCTGAATTGGCTAGTATGTCATCAAAATTTGCCACACCTTCTTGATTCTCAACCTGTGAATCAAATTCCAGAAAAATAACGGGTACTGAAATTTGCCCCAGAGATGTTACGATACATGGAATTGAAAAAAGCATATCAAAACATTTGCACTGCATGATTTTCTTCTAAAGTGCATTATAAAATTTCATGGTTCCCGTGCCACAAATCACCAGAAAATTCTAAATTCCCCAGTAAATAAATCAAACTCTTTTAAAATAAAATTTTCTTAGTGTTATCATCCCCATGAAGAAACATATTTTCATGGGAGATTTTCCATTAACTGAATGTACCTTTGACATGAGAAGAATGCTCTTTGCATGCTTTCCAAGCAACTTCCGAACCTCCACAAGATCAGAACCTTTCCGAACGAAAGATAGAGCAATCATATCAATTTTATTAGGAACCCCCCATTCTAGTATATCTTCCTTATCTTTGCCTGTTAGGGTTGGGAGATCCACTATAACTCCAGGCAGGTTGACATTTTTTCTTTCACCAAGAACTGCAGAATTCTCACAGCGGCATCGAACCAAACCCAATTGTTTGTCACAAGATAGAACTGTAAACGAGATTGTACCATCCGAACAAAGTATTATGCTCCCTGGCTTTACATCCTCAGCTAACTTTTTGTAGCTCATACATATCGTATTCTCATCACCCTTCAAGTTGTAGTCAGTAGATATGGTTATCTCCTGCCCCTGTTTTAGTTGGATGGGTTTGCCATCTTTCAAAAATCCAGTTCGGATCTCTGGGCCCTGTTTCATTTTAAAGTCTTGAATCAATTAAATTTCATTCGTGCAAATCAACTGCATTGATGCATTGCTTTAAACGGAAAGGTGAAGTTAGGGATGAGTAGGGCATCTCCCAGTAATGTAAGTGCCATGTGTATCCTTCATGATTCCACGGACATGACATGATTAAATGATATGTTTTGAACTTCAAATGTAAAAAGAAAAATAAGAATGGCATGTAACTCACAAAAAGAATTTCCTACAAGCTGAACATCAATAAGGGTTATGAAAAAGAAATCAAGAGGCAATTGTTTCTGGCTCTGAAGAAAGCTCAGAAAACTAAACAGGAACAGGAATGAGGAGAATATAACTGGAATCAACCTCAGAATTTATTTCTCCAGTTCAAGTGCTGCCTCGATTACCCTCAACAGAATACAAATATGAGAAAAGCAACCTGGTCAAGTAAGTAGAAAGTAACAAATATCCAGACAAATTAAAGGAAAAGTGCCAAGTTAGTAACATCAAAAGGCCTTCTTATGAAAAAAAAAAAAGATTTCACGACTATGGTAACAAGCATACTAAAGCAAGTCCGTTCATGATTTCATCTGCATCTCCTTCATGTTTTCCTTAATAAAAAGTATGAATATGCCAA